CGTTGCGGAAACATGTAAGAAGGGAGAGCTTCGGATGCAATACACAATTACAAGTTTCTTTAAGTCCAATTTCATTGTGCTTTTACACATCTGGATAATTAACAAGCATTACATTCTCTCTAGACTATTTTTACAAGTACAATATGCTCCTAACGTGATTTCCATTAGGCTGTTCCAAACATCATTTAAGAACTCAGAAAGATTGCAGACGGAGATTTGAAACCACTGTTCAGCTGTGATGTGGAGACCTTTTTCTCTCGGGGGGGAAATAAAAGACTGAGAACTGAATTCTGAGATCTGTGTGATGTAAGAGGAAAACTGGAGGCTTACTGCTTCTGTAAGCCCCAGCAAATGCAAGCATATACAAACACACCCTAATATCTCTGGGCCTTCTCGTCAGAGGCGAGCTCAAAATAGGGTCACTGTGGGGAAAATGAGCCGTGGAACAATGGTGCTGGAAATTGCAGCTGGAAGCTTCTTTAAATACTAGAAAAGAGTAACAAGGGCAGACGAAAATCCTGACGTGTCGATCACTAACCTAGTTTGAATTATTGTGTTAAATAAATACGTTTGTCTGGCTGAGTTCCTCATTTGAGGGTCACTGCTGAATTTTAAAATAATAATGTGTTCAGATTGTTTCTGGCCACACTTTTCCTCTTTCCTTTTATAATCACTTTGATGCTGTTCTGAGCTTTTATGAGGCCAGGGTCTCATCCGATGGTAGAAGGTTAGTGTTAATTCATAGACATCAGGAGCTTCGTTGCCCAGCTGCTGCCCACATTGATGAGCCCCAGCAAGAGATCAGAGAGACCACAGGGCCGAGAGTTGTGGTGGTTGTTGCTCTCGTCGTTGTTACAGACAGAACTCAGAACAAAAGAAGCAAGAGTTCATAAAATTACAGGATTATAGTTGTACGTCCTAAGGGGCCACATAGTTCATTTCTGATCCATCGGACAGCCACACCTCAATTCTCCCCCCTAAAATAGAGGTTTCTAGTCTACTTAAAATATATCCAGAAAAGAGAAAACTGGGCAAAAAGAACATTAGATTTATTGTCTGGTTGTCTTTTAAAGTGCTCGTGGTGGTCAGAGAATCATTAAATTGAGAAATAAATGATTCAGGAAGAGTAAACTAGTCTGATCATGCAGAAAAAAAATGTCTCAACGAGAGTGAAAATAATTGAAATTTCATTATAATGTTTCTGTGTCTGTTTTCCATAAAATAATCCTATAATTGTCTACTGTGTGACAGCCTGAGCCACTCAAGCAATGGAATGATTAATGGAAACAGCAGTGAAGGATTTGTCACACTGACACAGGGCAAGGAAGTGTGTGATAGTCATTAGAAAGCAAAAATGAGATAAACATCATCGTTAGGCTAGCAGATGTGGACTGAACATTGAGGAAACTATTTTGGACACGGTTATAGAACTACCTCTCTCACCATCTTGTTTTCTTTAAATGGTCAGCTTAGCAAGCATGTAGTAGATGAACCCAAGGCTGAGCTCCAGCTTGGGAGACCACAGACTCATAGTCTCCAGGACCATTGACTGAAGTGTGGCTTGATATGAGAAATGGGAGATGTGGAGGCAGCTGAGCCTTGATGGAATTCCAGCCAGGCACGTGATTGGAATGCACAGACCCTTGTTTTCATCATTTTAAAATATGGGAAGATAACATTAACTTTAAATTAGTTCAGTTTGAAGTGGGGGGGGTAGCCTGTTTGTCGTCGATGCTCAGAAATTGAGTAGGTGTTCCTTCTTAATTTCCTGCCTGGATCTATCCCAGATACGCATGGTGGCCACAAAGGGGAGGGTGCCATAAAAATGTAGCTGTTTTAGCCTGAATTTGTCATCACCATCATTAGAGCAACTTAAAATATACGCCCTTCCATCTCAGAAAGAGTTAAAGAGATGCTTTTTTAAAAATTTTTTTAATGTTTTATTTATTCATGAGAGTCAGAGGGGGGGGGCAGAGGGAGAGGGAGAAGCAGGCTCCCCGCAGAGCAGGGAGCCTGAGGGAGCCTGATGCGGGACTCGATCCCAGGACTCTGCGATCATGACCTGAGCCGAAGGCAGATGCTTAACCATCTGAGCCACCTAGGCGCCCAAAGAGATGCTTTATTGCCAGGTCTTACAACAAGACAACTTGAATGATAACATCCAATAGAGAAAAAATGTTTAGCAGTAATGTCAGATTAGTCATTTATTTATCAAGTATGTTTTTATGTTCCTACTGTGTGCTGGGCAAGGTACACGATGTGAGAATAATAATCCATGAAATGGCAAACTTCACCCCATCACATAGCGGTCAAGTTTTTGTAACATTTTTTCAGAAGAAATGATTAACTTCACAAGTGCAAGTTCTATGCTTTATTCATTTTTATGTCTTCTCAAATGTCTACCACAATGCCTTTGACAGAAGAGTTGTCTAATAAACTATCACTGAATGAAGACTGTATGATACATCTTTAGCAGTAAAATGATTACTCAAGGAAATTTGGGTTTTTTGGTCCATCTTACTGAAATTACATTTGATAAATGTTCACTTATTGTTCCTAATGGGAAAGTATAGCACTGTTATGCAACAAAGCACATTTCAAGCATGTAAACACATCTTTATATCACCTCAAGGAAGCTAAAATGTGCTCATGCTTATGAATGGATACACTGTTTTGCATAATACTTAGCCTAAATAATTACTGTTGCGCAAGAGGGCTGCATCAGTGAGGAGATCTTGTATAAATTATGCAAATTACATTACTTTGTCATACCTTGGAAAGAGTGTAGGTTTGGGAGTAAGTGAAAGCAGGTTAGATTCTAACTCTACCACTTAAGTTCTCTGAGCCTCAGTGCCTTCATATTGATATGGGAGTAATGACATCTGCAGCATATGATTAGGGTATAGAACAAATGAGAGCTCTTGGGATCTCCCAGGCTTTGAACTACACACCCCTACAGAGCCTTGGAAATACTACGAAGGGTCTGTGGACTCATATATACCTATTCCATGCCTTTAGTCTATTTTGAACATATATGCATTAGTGTTTTTCAGATGCATGTAGGTTAATTCAAGACTCATTCATTCAACAACTGTATTGAGCACTAACAGCATCAGGCACAGGGGCTATACTAACCTACAAAACAGACAGATCTCCCTGTGTTCATGGATATTCTATTCTAGTGTGGGTGGGAGAGTAACTACACAAGATAAGTAAGTAAAAGTTTGTAGGAAAGTGATAAGGATTCGATGAAAAAAGAGGAAATACAAAATGTAAAAAAACAGGGGGGGAGGGTGTTAAAATTTTAGTCGGGGTGGCCAGGGAAAGCATCCCTAGAAGGTCTCACTGAAGCAAGTAAGGGAGTTAACCATATGGACATCTGGGGGAAGAGCGTTCCAGGTGGAGGGAGCAGCTAAGGCAAAGCCCCCGGTGGAAGGCACAGTACAGGTCACAATCATGACTGGTCCGAGAGAGGAATGAGCGAGAGGGTAGCAGGGGACAGTGTTAACGAAGTGACAAGATCATGCAATACTTATGTCTCCGAAAAAGCACCCTGCTTTTTCTCTGAGGGACTTGGGGAGTCATCAGGGTTTGAGCAGAGGAGTGGCAAGATCAGATTCATGTTTTAGTAGACCATGTCTTGAAAATAGACTGGATGAGGGGAAGGACAAAAGCAGGGGGGCCAGTTAGGCTAAAGCAAGAATCCAGGCAAGAGGTGACAGGACCTGGAGCAAGGTGATGAAGGGGGTGTGTGCAAAGACCCTGGATTCTGGACCTATTTTGACAGAATAGGTAGAGTTGACAAGATTCACTGATGGACTTTTGTGGGGTGTGAGAGAGAAGGAATGGCACTGGGGTGCCCTGGGTGGCTCAGTGGGTTAAGCGTCTGACTCTTAAATCTCAGCTCAGGTCTCCATCTCAGGGTTGTGAGTTCAAGCTCTGCGATGGGCTCTGCACTGGGCGTGGAGCCTGCTTAAAAAAGAAAAGAAAAATGACACCATGATTTTTGGCCTAAGCAATGAGAACAGAGTTATCACTAATGGGCTGTAAGGAAGGCTTGGGGATTCAAGCTTAATTTTGAACATAGGAAGTTTAATATTAGACATATAAGTGGAGATGTCAAAAAGGCAGCTTTTTAATGTAAAAAATGCAAAACTATTTTTTTAAGATTTTATTTATTTATTTATTTATTTATTTGAGAGAGTGTGGGGAGCAGGGGCGGGGGGAGAGGCAGAGGGAGAGAAAGTCTCAAGCAGACTCTGCACTGAGCGCAGAGCCCAATGTGGAGCTGGATCCCATGACCCTGAGATCATGACCTGAGCCGAAACTGAATCAGAGGCTCAACGGACTGCACCACCCAGGCGCCCAGTACAAAGCTATTTTTAAAATATTCCTGAATAGTAGCTTTTTTCAGCATAATCTAAAAATAGAGTTATAATGTTTGTGTCCACAAAATATTTTGAAATTGAAAAAGAACCATGTATTTGGAAAGGTTGGAAACAGAGATAATTGTCAAGTGACAATTTCAGGAGCCGGTAAATATACTTTCCATTTTAATACATGTAGATTTCAAATTGCATCATCATACAGAATTTGAAATCTTAATTTTGGCCTTGAGATTTTTTTTCTTTATTATTTAATAAAGTTTTTAATGGCGCTTTCTGGAAAGACAAGCCGTATGGGTGGCAGAATTGAGAATTGTGTCGGTGGCCCACGTTATCTTCTTCTGGAAGGAAATTAGACCGTTCAGCTAGTCCATGTCCCCTTGTCATTTTTTTGTGCACCTCACCGGTGACTTGCATATCACCGGTGCTGTCTGGGGATGCCAAAAGAAGTGAGAGACAGAGCTCTGTGCTATTGTGGAATTTACAGCGTGAGGTAAAATATGTGGTAGGTCTCATGTGGAAATACTGCTGTTTTATTGTTATTTTAATTAGCTTAAACACATGATGGTTATAGCACCAATTTGCGATGGTTCATTTTCACATCTACCCTCTCAGTCGTACGCAGGGAAGTACGTACCAGCCCTCGCACACTATATCCACACCCTCGGCCCCATGGTGACAACGAAGATCAACCTGAAAGGAATTGCTCTTGGAGATGCGTATTCTGATCCTGAATCAGTAGGTGTCTCCTTTTTCCTTTCCATTCTGCCCTTTAAGGAGATTAAATCCCCTTTAATCCAATGGAGGCTCCTCAGACCTTAGAGACCTAACTTGATGGAGGGAAATAATGTTGCCCGGTTGACTTTCTAATGAGTTAAAGCTTTCTCATTTTCTTTATTTTTTATTTTTTTAATTTTATTTTATTATGTTAAAACCTTCTCATTTTTACCAAATGTTTTAAGGTGTCAACTTATTATGTCAGCCTAGGTTGGATGTGAGTGTGAACGTGGGGCATGCGCGTGCGTGTACGTGTGATGTGTGTGTATGTTTGGGGTACGTGTGCGCATTGTGTGTGTTGTGTATGTGTGTGTTCTGTGGGGTACGCACACATGTCTAAGTGTCTTGCTTGGCTAATTCCCGCGTGAGTTTGACAAATGACAGAGGGTTATTTCACCAAGCAAGCAGGCTTCCCTAACTTCTCTCTTTCTCTCCCTGTGTCGTTTGTGTTTCTCTTTTCTCCTCAGATCATAGGGGGCTACGCCACATTCCTGTACCAAATTGGCTTGTTGGATGAGAAGCAGAGAAAGTACTTCCAGAAGCAGTGTGATGACTGCGTGAAATACATCAGGGAGAAGAGGTGGCTCCAAGCCTTTGAAGTGAGTTCTGGACCTGCGTTGCCCGGAGCAATGAGAACCATCTGAGCCGGGTCCTCGAAGCATCGTGGTACTCAGGCATTTTGTTGTTAGAGAAGGTGTAGCTGGTACGCTGATGAGGCAGATGAGTGCAGGCTCAAAGTGAAGGAAAGAACCATCCAGGTCTCTTTGAATTTACTTTGGCTGTATTTTAAACCAGCGATCACCTTGGAGTGTTTATCTAGCTATGTCTTTCATTAACTGTTTTGATTTCTTTAAATGCTGTGTAGGCCCTAAAGGCATGCCCTATCACAAGGAAATCAGAAGAAAGGCGACCCAGAAAGTAGATACACATGCTTCAGCATATGCTCGAAACCCTTCAGAAGGGTGATACCCACACACGGCCTTCCAGCTGGAGATGTGGCCTCAGTGTGTGACAAATGTCACATGTTTCTGTGTGTCAGGAACAAAGACGATGAAGTCTAGTGATTTGAAACTTTTACAAAGAGCTGTTGGTATTTGTAAATATTGTCGCAATGCTCCCCTAAAATTGAATTTGAGAATCAAATAATATGGTTCTATTCCTTGCCCTTTTTGTTGAGATGGGGGGAGTTATTTAAAATCTGAGACTATACTAAATATTAACATACGGGAGTTTGAGTTTTTGGTTTGGTTTGGTTTGGTTTGGTTTTGCCAGTGCAGACAAAGATCGTGTATCACTTATCTTTTTTAGGTTGTTTTGTTTGTTTGTTTGTTTGCCACCTTTACCATAGAGCCATCATGTTTCACATATTAGTAAATGAGGCAAGGATTGCATTTGGAGGACCTTAGTGTTTTTGTTCTTGGGAACACATCCTGTACTAGTTTACCTAATGGCATTATTGTTGTTAAGGCTGAGGCCTGATATTAATAGTCTTCTAGGCACTGCAGGTCAGCTGGTTCAGATCAAAACAGGAGACATACAAACTCAGGGAGAATGGGGTAACAAGGTTAAGCTCCATTTAACAAGCGGGGTGCCTCGCCCTGCCTGAAATCCCCAAAGCAGTGAATGCCCTTACCATCAGTTCTGACAGCAACAAGATGTGCAGCTGAAACCATCCCTCAAGATGCCAACAGCCTCCCGTGTGCCTGTGCCAGGACACCTGGTGTGGCTGCAGAGTGCGGATTCAGAATTTCTGTGCAATTGTAAATGCAAAGGAAAAGGGATCTTACGGGGACATGTAAGATCCCTCTTCGATGTGCAATGACACTATTTTCAGGTCTGGTTTTAGGCTGTTTAGTAGGCAGAAAGGGTAAAAGGATTGAACCTCTAGAATTTAAAATTAATATCAAATGTTACGTCATGTGAGACCAATTGGCAAGTGAGAAACTTAATGTGTTTTTGAAGAAGCATACAGGGATTAAGTGATGTCAAGAGGAAGAACATCTGATGGACCGTAAGGGGTAAGGAAAGCAGAAAGATGTCCTTGCTGCATGCTGCAGCAGCCTGAGCACCGGCAGGATTAACGAAACTGTTGAAAAGTTCAGGTCATTTTGTGTATTCAGAGGTAATGAGAAGCTGGCCCATGAGGTTAGAGCTCTCCCAAACTAGATTCATCAGAAAACAAGGCAAAAGGCACAAAAACCCAAAACAAAACAAGACAAAAACAACAACAACAACAAACCTAGGAAGGTATGCAATGTCTCCATGACCATTGATCCAATATCTTGAGTGATGAGTTCACTTAATAATCTTTGTTTTATTTTAAGGGAAATAGATAAGCTGATACTTAGGAAAGTAAGCCAGTAGTGGTAAAATGTGTTTCAGCGTATGTAATAGAAGGCTTGGAGAAATCCTGAGACCCGAGAGAGTACAATGTCAAAATCACAAGCCTAAATAATAAAGCCTGTTGGATGCTCTGATCCCTTAATATGATTTGGTTAATAAAAAAGCAGTAACTTGGAGCTGGAGGGAATTTTATAGACTGTCTTCTGCCCCTACACACATGCACACATCCACTCTTCACTGATGAGGAGGCTGAGGCCAGGAGGGACTGCATTCAGTGGCCAAAAACCACGTAATAGACTGTGGCAGGCCTAGGACTGGAATCCTTCCGCACCCCCACCGACTCCCACCCTGGTATTCTCCAGTGGTAACTTCCATGCAGTCTGTAAAAATCCTGGAACATTCAGACATTCTGCAAGATGCACCCATCTCTGGCCCTGTATTGTCCCCCTTGCCGTGACAATGTTCTGGATCACAAAGTTCTTTCTGTGAAACAAATTTTGACCAAAACCTGGATCTCACAGGTCTTGACCACCCACCTCACTTGTTTGACAAGAAATGATTTTTGACTCTTTCTGAAATCAGATCCATTTTTAAGGGTAGAATTTATATTCCCATTGGTGTTGAAGATAATTTTTTTTTAAGATTTTATTTATTTACTTGACAGACACAGCGAGAGAGGGAACACAAGCAGGGGGAGTGGGAGAGGGAGAAGCAGGCTTCCCACGGAGCAGGGAGCCCGATGCAGGGCTCAATCCCAGGACCTGGGATCATGACCTGAGCCGAAGGCAGACGCCCAACGACTGAGCCACCCAGGCGCCCCTGTTGAAGATAATTTCTAAGGATAAAAAAAAAATGCCACCTATATTCAGGACTACCACTAGCCTATGGTGTTGCCTCTGGGTGGACAAGTTAGAAAAAGACACCTCCTCTGAGTTGACAGAGTCCTGTGGATTCAAGGTTGGGCAAGTGGATGCCACCATTGTGCTAGAATAAAGATGGCTGTTTCTCCAAATGCAGCCCAAGTGTGGTTATCCAGCTTGGCAACCAGCACTTTGGCGGGTTCTCTACCCCTCAGCCAGGCATCCCCAAGGCAGTGCACAGTGCGCAGCCAGTGGTCCTGAGTGACCATAGCATTTCTAGAGCATACTTACTACTCCCCCCGCCTTTCCACAAGGACGATCCTTTTCATACTTGGTCTCTAGCCCTGTGGCAATAGCCACTTGGATAAATTGAGTTGCTTCATGTTTGGTAAAGAAGACTAATCTAATAAAATAATGGAATTTTATATTAAACCCAAATGCATGGCCAGAAAGAGGTGAAGACTAAGAGAGACGGCAGTCTGCCCCTTGGAGAGCTAGCGGGTGGGGGGTGGAGCATGTAGGCTGGAGAGGCATGGCCTGGGCTTGAGTCTCTCCTCTGACATTATTAGTGAGGCATCCTTGGTAAGTGACTTAACCTCTGTGTGCCTCCGTTTTCTCACCTGTAAAACTAGGATACTACTGTCCTGAATTCTTACCATGTAAGAAAACCTAAAATCACACCTGATCATTAGTTTTGACAATGTGTCGAATTCATCCTTTTTACAAGAGCCCCTTACAGACTCAATATCCTCATGCCAAAACGTCCCAATGTTCTCAATCTCTTTTGTAAGTATTCCCTTCATCTTCTTGCTCCACCCAAAACCTGCTTCTCCCCTGCTGCTGTCACTTCCCCTCTCAAGCAGGGGCTGTGTTCTGTCTTAGCTACTTTGTACCACTTGGTTCATGGGTAGAGTGGGCATCCTTCTTGCTCCTCATTGCTGCCTTCGGATCATGTTCTGTCCCTCCAGAAGCACTGAGCTGTGACTCTCACATTCTCACATGATCCCACCCATCACTCCTTACAGTTACCTACCACCCTCTGGCTTTCTCCTTCCCATCCCTGATAACGCCTCACTGTCATTCTGTCTCAAGGGCATCACGCTTGTCATCATTTCTAGTGATTGCAGTGTCTGCGTGAAGGATCCTTTCAATACCTGGCCCTTCAGTTCCTTAGTCTCCTCTCTTTCGATGATCTTATTCTCCTCTTGACCTTAGCTGCTCAGTCTCACTACAAAAAAAAAAAAAAAAAAAAAAATCTGACAATCACTCCACAGCCTCAGATCCCCATCACGCCATCTTACTCCTCTGAATGTACCAATTCAGAGAACAGTCCTGCAATCTCAGCCCACTGATCCCACTCCCGAGTCATGATCCTTAACCCTTCAAGTCTCAGTTTCTTTCATTACCCAACTGAAACTCAGGTCAGCCCAGCTCCTTTGGCCAAACCACCATCCTGGCTAAAAGCACCTGTCTACACATGACTAGAGAAGGGCATACAACCATGCTGACTGCCCTCACCTCCGCTGATAACCAGTTTTTATTTTTTTTTCAAGATTTTTATTTATTTATTTGAGAGAGAGAGAATGAGAGATAGAGAGCACGAGAGGGAAGAGGGTCAGAGGGAGAAGCAGACTCCCTGCTGAGCAGGGAGCCGGACGTGGGACTCGATCCCAGGACTCCAGGATCATGCCCTGAGCCGAAGGCAGTCACTTAACCAACTGAGGCACCCAGGCGCCCCTGATAACCAGTTTTTAAAGTCAGAAGTCCCAAGGGAACTTCTGCCAGTTCCAAGCACCGGCAGGTATGTCCGTAGCCTCTGCCCTCTCTCCTCGTACTATGGGTGAATGGTCAATGATCCATGTTATGTCAGCCCTTCCCTATAAGGCCTTTGGGCTCACTGTTTCCTCTGCCTGGAATGTTCTTTCCCTAGATGTCTGCATGGCTCACTTCCTGCCTTCCTGTAGGTGTTTAGTCAAATGCCACCTTTCTCAGTGAGACCTGTGTTTCCCCCTCCCTGCAGTGCACCTTGCACTCACGCCCACACACACAGGCCCACACATGCCGTGACACTTCCTACTCTCCTTCTCCTTTTTAGTTTTCTCCTTAACACTTATCACTCTCATACTCCATGTTTTTCCTATGAGTGCTTGCTTCTTGTCCCCCTCAAGGATATAAGCTCCGGGACGGAGGACTTGCGCTCTCTTGTTCCCGTGGCTGTGTCCCCAGTGCCTGGGACAGTGTCTAGCACAGAGAAGAGGTGCAATAAATGGTCACTGATGAAACGATGCAGGAATGAGAAAACTATTGAATCAATGCAATGACGAGTGCCTGTGTGTTTTTACCAACCCTGATGTTTTCCTCCTCTCTCTCTCTCCTGACCTAGGTACTGGATAAACTGCTAGATGGTGACCTAACAAATAACCCTTCTTACTTCCAGAATATCACAGGATGTCCTAGTTACTACAGCATATTACGGTGCGAGGTAATGACAACATTTTTAAAAAGAGGATAGTGTTTGCTTAAAACTTTTGGCAAAACCAGACTTCTTCCCATTTGAGAAATACTATAGGTGACTTTATACCAGATAAATATGTCCTCACTGTATTGCATTATTTGGTCTACTAATCTATAGGATTCCCCCCCCCAACCGATGTTGTATATGTTATAATCTGACCATCAAGAATGTCTGATATTCCAGATAACTCAAAATAATCTCTGATTAACACAATTTACCCCCCCCCCCCGTAGAGCTTGTTATACAGAAGTTCTTTTGTCAAGGATTGAGGCCAGGATTGCAGTTCTGGGTATTAGGTTCCAGAACGCCAAGCCTGTAGTGAGTTTCTTGAAAATGTCCACATTATTTGTTCTATACTTAAAACAGCTTGGATAATCAAAACTGCCAAAGCTTTTAGGAAAATATTTGCTTTGTCTTACTTTTAACTTAAGATGGTTTGTGCACTTAGTATGGCCCTCACTTCAAGCCCTTTAGAATATTTCTCAAAATATTCAAGTAGTTTTCTTCTATAAAAGTAGGCCAAAGTTGATGTCTTCTGTGCAGAATTAATCAAATCAAACAAAAGGAGCCAAGGTGGGTATTTGGATTTGTATCATCTTTATCTAGTGTGTATGACAATACATCTTGTTTTTAAAACTGCCTCATTTATGAACTATTTTGTAAATAAAATATAAAGCTAATTTCATTAGAATCTGCCAACCCTGTGGTTTTGGATTTAGATTCTACCAAGAGAAAAACATGGTAGGCCAGAGAGAAACAGGATTTGTAATCACATTTCTTTTTCCTTTACAAAGTAATATATTCAAAAGATTAGCAAAAATTGAGGATGCACAAAATTGTTGATCTCAAATTCTTTTTTATCCTTTTGTAATTTAAAAAAAAATTTATACCTTTTTTCTTTTAGTATGATGAATATCATAGACTTTACAATATCACAGACTTTTATGCACATTTTTTTTGAGTAAGGCTCATGGACAACTTTTCTTTTGTCTCATGTCCTTCATAAAGTCATCTGTTTTTACACTTGGCATATTTCCCCCCTTCAGTTATGGTTAGCTGATTATTTTATTCGTGTGGTTTTAACAAACAGCAGAACATGGAAAAGAAAGCCTCAGCTTTTAACCCACCAGACCACCACCCTGGCTCCTGTGGTCCATTTGACTTTTGTCCCATAGAGCCTCAGACAAGGAGCAAATTGCTTTTGATAATCTCACCTCTTCTTCGTTTTCCCTGTGTTTGCCTCAAATGGGGTCCTTGAGGTTGAGGGGAGTCAGAGATTGTAGAAGATGACTTACCAAGAAAGGAAAATCGAGCATTTAAATGCAAATAGGGCACTGGCTCTGAAAATATCAGATCATCCAGTTTTGTTGTTAGTAAAATGTAAATTCCCTCAGAACCCCCAAATTAAAAATTTCAGTGTGGATACCAGTTGATAGTCATGTCTCATCTTGTTCATTATGGTTTATGTTAGGAGAAATTTGCAGCTTTCCCAGCATGCTGTTCCTGCCACCCAGTCATGTTCCCTAATATTTTTCTGATGTCGCCTTCTGCCAGGAACCTGAGGACCAAAATTACTATGGGAAATTTTTGTCCCTCCCACAAGTGAGGCAAGCCATCCATGTGGGAAACCGAACCTTTAGTGATGGATCCGAGGTTGAAAAGTACATGCGAGAAGATACAGTGAAGTCCGTTAAGCTCTGGTTAGCTGAACTCATGAACAATTACAAGGTAAGAGAATTACTTCAGTTACTGTCTATTTCAGGAACTTTTTAGATTACCCAGAGTGGAAGTGACTTTCTCTTGTTTGTAATTCAACTTCTGCCATTTTGTTTTTACTTTTAGGATATTTTCCAAATACAAATAACAACCCTCAGACTGGTTTGATTTCTTTGAATTAAGTTTTATTTTGGCCTCCTAATTAAGTAACTATCCCTTGATAGTTTCTTAAAATGAAATTCTCTTTGGCACATGCCACGTCTCATCATTTCTGGAGAAAAGAAGTACAGCAGAGCCAAGATGACTGGCCTGTGGAAGCCAATTTTGCCTTATTGCTTGCTTTATAATATTAATCCCAGTGAAGTCAGGGGTAAATGAAATCAACTGGTTATTCCAAAAAGTGCATTTTACCTCATAATTGTATTCATTTCCATTGCTCTGTAACAATTTTTTCAGTATCTGCTTTAAGCCTAAAACAGTGCTAGACTGTTAGCTTGAAACAATGAATGAGAAAAGGTCCCTGTTTTGAGGAGTATAAATTCAAGCACTTTGTTTATCTGAGATGTTCTGCCTGATTTGCAGCTGGAGGTACCCAAGGAAAGTAAAAGCATGAAGCCCTGAAAATGCAGGCAGATGGGGCATGGACCCTAGAATTTTCACCATGAGGGAAAGATACCAAGAGCAAGGGATGTAGGGAAAAGTCATCCTATGAATTTCTTTCCTGCTACTACTATTCTCACCTCCTCCCCTGATCTTCCTGAGCTGTTATCCTCTGTCCTAGGCCTGGTTTGTGGGGCACCTCCACAGGCTAAGTGTGTTCATGATAGAGGGCACCACCACCTGAGATGAGCCACCTCCTCTCTAGTTCCTGGCAGACGCAAGAGTAATGTTAGGGATGAACAAAAACCAGGGCAGCCAATAATCAACACACCTTTGTATGAATTAGAAAAAAGACAGCCTCCCCTCAGGATTCTTTAGTTCTATTGGTCAAAAAATTCTCCTAATATATTACTTTAATTCGAACCAACCTCTTTACTACCATTTTCTGCCATGAGGAATACACATGTCTACAAGGTCTATGTTAGGAATACTTTCCCTTGGGGATTGTTCTGTGTACAGCCGTCAGTACTATGCGGGGAGTCCATCGCCCAAGGTACCCTTACTAGATTGTGTTCTGAACTATGCCAGACCTCGAAGGCCCATGTTTTGGTGCTGTCTCTAGTACACAGCTCTAGTTGAGTCCCTCGACATACAACCCTTATTGAAAAAAAAATCTAAGGTCAATGGCATGCAGCCTACAAACCCATTATAAATTTGCAGAATTTGATGAAATACTTTCTAAGAAAGAAAGAGTCTAGCTAGATGAGGTCAGAATTTCAACCGTCCTTGTATTTGGTTCCATCGGGGTCCTGAGTGCTTGCCTACTAGGAGCCTTCTCTGCACACCTTTTTTTTTTTTTTAGAGAGATTTTATTTATTTCAGAGAGAGAGAGAGAGAGAGAGAGTTCATGAGCAGGGGGAAGGGTATAGGGAGAAGCAGACTCCCCGCTGAGCAGGGAGCCCAACACAGGACTCCATCCCAGGACCCTGAGATCATGACCTGAGCCAAAGGTAGATGCCGAACCAGCTGAGCCACCCAGGCGCCCCTCTGCACACCTTTTTAAAGCACTTAGTTGGTTGTCCTTGTCTCTGAGCTCTCAGACAATGTTGTCTCTACTGCTGTGGCCACATTTAGCATCCTGGAATGTCATTGCAGGCTGTCCATTCCAACACCAGCCTGGAGCAGATGTCAATTACCAATGAATGAATGAATGAAAAATCTGTTCTATAAATTAGTGCTACATCAAAGATATATCTAGTAAATTTGTCCGTGATTCATTAGATATTATCTACAAATTCATTAGGCCAAAAAGAGCCAAGCACTTGTGTTTTCAAGACATAAACAATGGGCTATAATATAATATTAAAGAATACGAAGTGGGGGGTTTTTTTTGAGTGGAGAGCAGATAAGGAAGTTCTACGTACATTTTTTGTGCCTTTGGGAGATACATTTTCTCACTGTCTAAATCTCACTAGAATATGATTCTTTTCTCAGCCAAGGGAGGATAGGGAGGAACATGCAGCTCACCTGATGATAAAAACTCTCCTGATACTGACTAATCACCATAGAGTATCCCCTTGATTGATGAAGAATATATTGATTAAAATGATCCACTATTTCGATATGTAAACATCTCTGTCCCTGTTTCCCATGTATCTTAAACCTACCAAAATGAATTCCAATGAAATCAGAATATTCTTTAAACTTTAAACTCCTAATCAGTTGTCAGAAAAAAAGAGGATAGATTGGTGGTACGGATAAACCATGCTTCCATAAAGAAAGAGAACAAAGTATGCAGTCAGTCTGAGCGCAGACCAAAAGTGACTGCTGCTGAAACAGACTACATATTCATTGCTACAGCTGATGTTGCCTACTGGGCAATGATTATCTTTGGCTTGTTGTCTGTTAATGGTGGTGAACCTCAATGTATGTGCAATAGAATCAGAATAACCTATGTTGTCTTAAAACATTAGTACCCTCAAAATTATATTTATGCAAGTCTCAGTGCTAATTTGTCATAGAAAATAGCATACATGTTTCTATTCATAGGAACATGGACATCTTTTTCCAGTACTAGATTCATTTTAGGCAATGTGGAGTATCTCTGATGGGCTGAGGAAGACCTTCATCAGTTTCTGGGAACGAAGAGAACGCCTGTGGCACATCAGTTTCTGTGTGAGCTTCATAGAAACATAATCCTTTTCTTGTAATGACTTACAGGGAATGTGTACTCAAAGTCATTCTCTTCCATTAACTTCAGATGTTTGGGCGGTAAATTGAAATATACTAGCAGTTTCCAAAATAAGTAGGAGAAGAAATAACCCGTTGGACTATTGGAATTCTCATGATTAAGTCAGATTACAATACTATGAGGATTTTTAGAGTTAGCTGGGTCATAAAGCATGATGGTTATGAGCATGGGTTCTTAAATATTTTGAGTTTGAATTCTGGCTCACCATTCACTGGCTGTGTTCCTCTGGAGGAAGATAACTTATAACCTCTCTGTTCTTCAGCTTTCTTATCTGTAAAATGGGGATAATAATAGTACTTATAGGTGAGTTCTTGTGAGGTTTAAATGGATTACATATGTAAAAACACTTAGAATAATGACTAGTGGTTAGAAAGTGCTTGAAAATACAGGCTATTACCAATGATGTTCAACAAATTTTGGCGATAGTCCTTAAGCACCTGATACATACAAAAGTTATATAAGAAACCCTGAAAAACACAAAAATAAGAAAGACTTAACAGACTTTTGGTTTCCAGTTCAGCACGTAAGGAGCTTAGAATTTACCACTCGATCTGAAGAGTAAGTAAAAAGTTAACCAAACTGAAAAGTCAACAACTCTTCTTAGATCGATGAGAGAAGTGAGGTCAGAGGGCACACTGCTTCTCCACAAGTTGTAAAGAGGCTGACACAGAGAACCACAACTGCTCTGAGTAGAAACTTCCGTCGCAACCAATGCCAAGGTAGAAAAACCTGAACTGTAAGTTTTTACAATAGGAAAATGAACAACCCATTAAAAAATGGTCAAAGACCTTAACACACCCAAGTCTTAAGACCTTAACCTCACTCAAGAAGATACACAGATGGCATGTAAGCCTTTGCAGAGATGTTCTACATGACATGTCATCAGAGAGTTGCAAATGTAAACAATGAGATGCCACTACGCACCTATGAGAATGGCCAAAATCCAGAACACTGACAGCACCAAGTGCTAGGGAGGATGCAGAGCAACAGGAACTCTCATTCATTGCTGGTGGGAATGCACAATAGTATAGCCACTTTGGAAGACAGTTTGGCAGTTTGTTGTTTGCTTGTGGTTTTGTTTGTTTTTCTTTTATAAAACTAAACAACTTTTACCATATAATCCAGTATTCACACTCCATGGTATTTACCCTAATGGATTGAAAAATCATGCCTACAGAAAATCCCTCATGCAGGTATTTACAGCAGCTTTATTCATAATTGCCAAAACTTGGAAGCAAGAAGATGTCCTTTAGTAGGTGAATGGATAAACTGGGTAGTGTAGACAATTAGACAATATTATTCAGCACTGAAAAGAATGAGCTGTCAAGCAATGAAAAGACATGGAGGAAACTTAAATGAAAGAAGTCCATATGAAAAAGCTACACACTGTAGGTTTCCCACCATATAAGATTCTGGAAAAGGCAAAGCTATGGAGACAGTCAAAGGTTAACTTGTTGCCAGGGGTTAGGGAGGAGGGTGAAGTGGATAGGCAGGGCACAGAAGATCTTTAGGGTGGTGAAACTATTCTGTATGATATTACAGTGGTAGATCCATGTCATTATGCATTTGTCAAAATCCATTGTCTATATACCACCTCGAGTGAACCCTGATGTAAACTAGGGATGTTGAGTGATAACAATGTATTAGGGTAGGTTCCTGTATTGTAACAACCGTACCACTAGGGTGGGGGAAGGTGATGGTGGGGGAGTTTGTGCATATGTGGGGATAGGGGAGAGAATGGAACCGGTCTCACTTTCTGCTCAACTTTGCTGTGTGCCTAAGCTGCTCTAAAAAAGTAAAGCTCGTGAATTAAAAAACAAAAAAGACTTGATTGTCTGCCTAGTGAAAGAGATAGATACCAGTATAGTTGATAAAAGGTAGACTCAATTTCTACTTCCAGCACAATGATAGAGTAGACACTGAAAGACCCCTTCATTGAAACACAACTAAATTCAGATGAAATTGCGACAAATATAGTTGCCATGCTTTTAGCAAAAGCAGATCTCAAAGTGAAAAAAGAAAGCAGAAACAAAGGAAAACAAAGATAGGGTACTGAATTCTGTGGAACAGGAGCAGTAACACAGGGTGGCCCTAAAGATCAATGTCCTCAGCTCTGCAATTAGTGACTGGACCATGGGCCCAAGTAAGGTAAAGTTGCTGA